TGTTTTCCTTACAGTACATTTATCTTAATTTTCAAAATGTACTAAATTTGTAAAAAACAAACAAACAGAAAAACAAATTTAGGTTGAGGGTGAATTTAGGTTCTTCTGCTTCTCACCCTAAATGGATTGTATTTTCAAGATGTTTTAAACTGTAGAAATAATTATATAAAATGAAATAAACTGTAAACCTGGTGTAGGTGGATCATGGGCTCCATGCTAGCAGGATCTGTTGTCTTTCTGTTATGAAATTACACGTTGAACCTGGAGCTGATTTAATAGTGGGCTCACCTCCTGTACATGGGAAGTAATTCTGACAATTCCCATTTTTGGGGGGGTTTCTGTCAGCTGAAGTTGGGCAATATTTTGTCAGAGCTGGGTCTTCCAGGAGAATCAGCCAGCAGAAAGCTGTTACTGGGAGCCCTGCTGTGTCCTGTGGTCAGTGGTCAGGGAGGAAGTGAGGAGCCTGGGTGAGAATATTGACCGTCTCTGACTGTGGATTTCCCAGGAGGCAGTGCCCGATGTATATATGACAACATACTGTATATACGAGTCGAAAACACATATATATGTTGTCAGTATTACTGATCAGAGATTCAGTTTACTTCTTCAGATAATGTAACCCCAAAAGGTTCTATCAATCTTTTATTCAATGGACTGTAAGGAGCTGTGAATTGATAGTAAGCAGGATTTAGTAGGCTCCCAGGCAAACCATTGACAGGGTGGGCACATCGCCTTCGCTGCCGAAAAAGGCAGGCCAACGGACAGACTAAAGTGTTTATCACCTGACTGCTGAGGTGTTCACAACAAACAAAAACAAACAAGGCAGTAAAAACCATTTTTGAGCAATAGACTCGTTTGGCTTCAGTGTCATGGCTTGCATAATGCCCTCCGTGGTTAACAGTCCTCCGGCTCGAAAGAAGCAGGATCAAGGTTAGAGTAGAAGCAAGGCAAAACATTTAATGAATATCTCAGGGGACAAATCCTGACCTGTTTTTCCACTGACGATGCTAGGGGCCAGTGCTCTCCAAAAGCACTTGAATCAATTAGAATTAATTTGTCATTGATGTTTGTATAGCTTTTGTTTTTGTAACAAGCTGGAGCTCATAGTGTTTAGTAAACACAGAATATTACACGTTGGCTTGTATTTTTTGCTTGAACTTAGATGTAAGTGGCTGGCACACAGTTTCTTGTTGTGTTGTAGTAGTACAAATAAAAGGACAATGAGTATGCTTAAGATTATTTACTACAAAATACGATTTTTTATGTTGTAAAAGAGCTAATAAAACAGAAATAAAAAATAAACCATTATCCTTGTTTTTCTAAGATATATTTTGATAGTACATGCATATCTAAAACACAATAAAATTGTCTGGGGAAAAGAGGTAAATTTAACTGAACCCATTTATTTATCAGTAAGTCATTTTGCATTTTATTTATTTTTACAACCTGCCCAGAGAGATTTTTTGTGAAGGTAATATACTTTTAGTAGTTAATAAATATAATAAGCTTTTTTTGCATAAAACTATAGCTCGACTTCAATTGTACCACATTTATTTGAATTATATTTCCTGCTCCACAGTATATAATACTAAGCATAATACAACAATCAATAAAGCAGTCAAATGAAATCCTTATTATACCATGTGAACAAAAAGAGAATAACTCCCCATGCAAGATGGGAGCCTGCCACCCAATAGGATCTGAAAACAGAAAGAATAGAATAAACATGAATTGGAGGAGATGACGATTCAGCTGAATCAAACAGTATCGATACTACATCAATAGTATAGAATATTAAAAGCTTTAATCTATATACTAAATCTTGTTCAGAGTTCTAGGATTATTTAAGAAATACAATCTTCTGAGTCACATTAAAAAGAATTGCCTATTTTTAAGCTTTACAAAACTAAAATCCATTTTGCCTGGGTTTTTCAGCTTTGTTGGATCATCATTGTTTATTGCAGCAATCCGCTGAAAATCCAATGGTAAAAGTTGGTGTCCTGTCTGGAGGTGGTGGCCACTGTTAATGAAAGAAACCTGCAACCTAAGCTTGGCCTTTGTCCTGTAAATTGTGAAGGTCCTTTATTACAAAGCTCGGCTCTCAGGCCAGCTCCAGATATGACCAACTATTTGCATACTTGCTGACCACTGAAAAGTCTTGACTTGAGTCATTACGGATTTGGGTTCCTCTGCATAGCCCAATACTCCCACTCACTCGAACAGAACCCAGCATGTACTGTAGTTTTTGGGCAAGCAAAATAAAACAACTTTTCATCTTGTAGGGCGTACATAATTTTCATGAGAAATGTACAGGATGAGCTTCACTTATATTGTGATTCAACCAGAAAAAAATGTGCATATTTTTTTAAAAATAGCAACAAATTCTATTAAAATGATTATCGCATGATGCAATACTAACTTTTTAACATAACGATGAACAAATACTTCAAATGAGATCCATATGATATTAACTATAGGAGCAACAATTCAGATTTTTATCTGTGAAAAATCCTACAAAACACTGTACCAAAAATCCAACCAATTTAAATAAGTCTTTGATTTGTTTTGTCAGGTTTTATGTAATTAGAAGACATTGCAGATTGTTTGGAGTTGCAGTCTGTTCAAGACTATATTCGTGATGGGCTAGTTGTTCCATGTTTCTTCATTTAAAAACACACAAATGTTTGTGGGAAGTGGAGCACTTATTATTTAAATGACAGATATGTCAACCTCTCCCAGAATATTTCTTAAAGTTAGTCCAATTAGTAATAAGTAAAATGACAGAAAATAAGTAATACATTATTTGACAGAGAATTCTTCGCAAACACATGGAACTTCAATAGTACCCAATCAATTTTTATGAAGGTTGTTAAAATACTGCTACTGCCTGCTACATTTTTAATATGATCCAATATGATGCAGAAGTTAACCTAGTATGATAGAGAAATTAAAGTATACTTACAAAATAATGTATAATATATAAATATATAATATATAAATTATAATTCAGATTTACATTTTTTTTATATTTAAGTAAGAATGTATAATGAATGGAATTGCCCCTTTTATTTATTTACAGGTTTGTACATTTCGATCGTATTATGTACTGTATGTGCCCCATGCTAATTAATGACTAGATTAAATGAACATGGAAGTTCTGTTCTGCATAAAGATATTCAGCATCTTTACCAGCTGCAAAATATTTTGTAGAAGAAAACCATGGGAACTGAGCATTTGAGATGTATTAGTATAGTGACAGTGTGACACAGAAAAAGCGACGATGATTAAGTAATAAGCTGCATCAAAAAATATATACATTTTATGGGTGACCATAGTACTCCATGTTCACCTGGATACTTTGAGATTTTTAGTTCATAGGGAGCTCCATCAGCATGCGTAGGCTGCAAAGTAACAAAGGTTTATTCCCTGCTGAAAAGAGAAGAAAACAAACACAATGTTTCAGCTGTGGAGCCTTTTGGCCCAAATAGATCATTTGGTTGCTAGTTGACTAAATAGTTTGAGGATTTCATGAAGGAAACTGTATGGATATACAGTAACATACCGTCTCAAAAACACAGCATGTGCTATAGCTAATGTACTATATCAGACAGTTCATTTCAACAGTCATCTAAGAGCAACACAGCAACACCTTTCTTCCAGCAACCTTGCGCTGTATGTACAGTATTACACTGCACAGATGCTTTCTGAGCTGCCATCCCATTGCAGCACACGATTTCAGCTGCAGAGTGAGTGCTTATCACACACTCTGTCCCGGGACTGAAGCTGCCTCCACCGAATTGGGAGAGACAGTAGTTCCAGTTCCATCTCACCATGACATTAAAGATTCCTGGGGGGCCTGTTTCCTGGGACACGACCGACCCACCCCCGGGCAGATGTGCCAGCTGTACATCAATGGTCTTTGTTCCTCTCATGTCCCTTAATCTTTGACCTCCTGACAGTGTAGGGAGGAAACATGTCCACCTGGGATCCTTGATAGAGCTAAGTGTTCTTCATATGAAAGATTGACACAGCTGTGATTGAACTGTGGCAGTCTGCTTTGTACTCCAAATGAGTTATTTTTCTTTCAATAATCTCTTCAGAAGTCACCTCTGTGTCTGATGCTTTAGACTCTCAATTATGTTTAGAACTCAATTTTTTTTCAGAACAAAATGTAACTGTTACACTGCTTTATCGTACCATTACCATTTAAGAAATTAATAAAAAAATCAAGACAATTAATGTTTGTTCATGATATAAGTCTGCGGTCACTTTTTAAAAGTCAGCAAAGAAGGAAGTACTTGGAAATACTGTATTCTTTCAGAACTGCACAGTTTTATTCTTATTGTTTAGTAGAAAATGATTTGTAGCCGTAGTGAAAATATAATACTGTTTTGGTTTAACACTTGCATGTAACACAGTTTGTCTCCCAGTTCTTTTCTAGCTATCTTTTCTCTCTTTTAATCAGCTTTATCATGGGTTTATTTTATTTTGCATTATCACATGCCCAAAACACCATTGGCTCTACTGTATACTGTATGTTCTCAACTGTTCGTCATTCCTAATGGTAAAATTAAAGAAGTCCATGGCAGAGCTCCAATAGACACAAGCGCACACTAATGTCTAAACACATACCTTATAATCAGACGGGAGAACGGTTGGTGACTCCTTGCTGACATGTTACCACTCCATAGACGTTTTCCCTCCGGTCTGCTCAGGCCCTGCGCTTCTGACATGTACCTGCCTCGATCTCGTCACTTACTGTATCTTCCACACCATACCTTCAACATTTATTTTTGCATCATTTATTCTGTAAGTTGCCCTGGACGAGGGCATCTTCTGAGCAGATCGACAACGACAGGAATAAATAAAGCAATAAATAATCGATTAGGAAATATGGCCGAGGAGCGTAATGGAATCTGTGTGTGGGGGCCAAGCACCGAGTCAGAGACCCTGCTGACACTGGCCGTCTAACCTGCGTTTCTCTCTTTGATCTCCTTCAGGCGTTTGTAGGCAACACAAACACCGAGAGCGTAGTCCGGCACGATTTCCAGCAGGCCGTCGTGGCTCGCTACCTGCGGATTATCCCCCTGGACTGGAATGGAGAAGGACGCATCGGGCTCCGGTTTGAGATCTACGGCTGTCCTTACTGTGAGTCTCCCGCCACAGAACGTTTTTCTGCAACTGCACCTTGTACGAAACACATTGTCATTCCCATGCAGAGAGTGCATTAGCCATTTTTTTGACAGATGGGTTTTATTTTGCCATTTAAATGCATACATACAGTACAGTACCTGTAGGTATTTAATTTTCCCAGTAGCATTCTCGTAGAATGTAGAATTTGCTCTTTAAAGTAATGTATACAAAGAGTGATGCATTTTAGTGCATTAATACTCTTTTAATCTTTTAATGCTTGAGTTACCAGATGAGCTAAGAATTCTGGACATACTGTACTTAGATACCCCCGCAGGTAATCTATTACAATAGTTTAAAAAAGAGTAAGGTACCAATATTCCAGCTCCAGACAGGCAGACCTATAATGAGCAGTTACAGAATGTGTAAGAAAAACACTCATATGATGTTGCTATCCTGCAACCTTCAAATAACTCATCCGGGTCAAAAGTAACACCCAGATCTTAACTTTGATGACTGGTCTAATTTCAGCCCTATCAGCCACGTCACTGAAGTCCAAATCTTTGCAAAGAGTTGACATTGGGAGTCTATGAGCACAATATCAATTACATCACAGTTTAACTCAAGAAGATTCTGTTGCATATGCAACGTAGTATCAGATAGACATCTGTACCGTGCAGAAACCGCAGCAGTAGTATCTGATTTGTTCTACAAGAAAATCTGAGCATCCATGATGGTGAATAATCTAATCAAGAGGAATATACATTAGGTAATGCTAAACAGACAAGGACTTAGCACAGAACCCTGTGGAACACCCTGAGTAAGTGCAGAAACATGCAATTCAAAGCAGCCAAGGTGTATGATTTGGTCCTGGAAGCTACACAAGGGCCAAATGAACAAAGGGAAATGCCAGTCATTCCTGGAAGATTTCCCATGTGATCCAGCACAATCTCATGATCAAAACATGACAAGACAGTATCGAAATGAGAAGAATATTAAGTGAGCCAGAATCAGAGGCCGTCTGCAAATCATTAACAAGTGCTGTATCAGTAATACTCTTTCTAAACTCCCGACTGAATAGGTTCAAAGAGCTCATTAGATGCAAGCAGAGATGTTAATTGAGTTGACACAGATTGATCCTGGATCACCCTCTTGAAAGTGAAATGATATAAACTTAATAATTGTAGCATATACAGTACAGTACAGTATAAATATAGCATGACTTTGTATCTAAGAAAAGTATAGATACAGGCTTAAACATGTGGTCGAGACTGACATGGGCTATGGCCTTTACTGCCATTTTTAATATGGATCTTCTTTAACTGCAGTTAATATTTTGCCAATGGCAACTCAATCTAAACAACATCTCTTGTTTTTACTGGTGTTCATTAGATTGGACAAGCCTAAATGTGACAGGAAGCAGACTTGTGGATAATAACATTTCCCAGCACTTTGGAAAATAGATTCAGATGCTTAGTTCAATAAGTATCCTGCGACAACACATTGTTGGAGCAGCAGAAAGATTGAAATCAACACATCCTTGTGAAAATACTCTTTCAGTGTTTTAAAGTACAAAAAGGGTGAAGTAATGGTGTTGCTATGCCGAACCACTCTTCAAAATAACTCCTGTACCACAAAGAAACATTTTAAAGGAAATGGAGATTATACGCATACCTTGTGCATGAGAGGCACTTTGTGCAATTTCATATTTGAAAATTTTATTCAAAACACTTGTGCTCCCTAGAGTGACTTACATTAAGGAAAGTTAATCTTTTCAATTCCAGTAAGGGCCTGTTATGCACAAATGCTGTGAGAGGGCAGAGTGCTACTGATTATTATGTAGACAGAATAAATGAAACAATAACGCCGTTTTAATGTGGAGAGCAGGCAACCCTTTTAAGACTAGCCACTTGTTTATTATAATAGCTTCTATATGGCAGGATTAGTTTTCTATTTAAGGAAGGCTTGAGCTCAGACTGTATGAAGATGCAAAACAGTAAGAAAACCATTCCAACAGGAGAAAATGGATTTCACATGGGGAATGAAAAGCTCAGAGTAAGAGTGTATGTAATTTAAATTGCAATTATAAGTTGTCTTGGATCAATGTCTCCAAAGGAAAGCAGATATTTGTTTCAGATTTATCTTTTTTTAAAAATAAACTAATGCCATCAGATTCTGTTTTTCACCTTTTTGCATTGTCTTCAATCATGCCGAAGGTTTCTTGGCTCTGTGTTTTCAGCAGAGCTGGTTTCACAGAGACACATGTTGACAAATTGTAGCATTTTGCCAGCTCTGCTAGAAATGTTGCCCACAATCTGATTAATGACTTTTCCTTCTTAAACTTCACAAGGAGGCTATGATTCTGCTTAGAGAGAATATATATGTAATTTTCAAACACTGTGTAAAAATAAAGACTACACATGAATTTTGTGGTATGGATTGTCTGACTCAAACTGTATACTTAAAACTACCATTAATTCTAATAATATTATCTTACAGAGGTGGTACAGTATATATGATCTTTGTATTGCAAAATCACCCATTACAGTATACTCTTACAAAGCCATTTTAATTCATTTAAACCTATCTTGTTTTTTAAATGCCCTGCATTTCATTTCCACCGATTAAACTAATAGTACATCTCTGCACACAGCAGGAATGCAGTGATACTCAATGAAGTGAAAGGCTGGAACACGCTGTACCGGTTCACCCAGTGTGAGCAGTGGCATTTGACTGTGATCACACTTTACACCAGGAGTGTCCCCAGCCTGGGGTGGTGGGGGGGTCTGCATGTTTTTTTCCATATCAGGTCAATATGGGACCAGTGTGAAACATTCTCCCAGCTCTGCGGTCCTGGTGCTTTGAAGAGACCTAGAAAACCTGCAGACATACCAACTCTCCTGTGTGTCAGCACTGCTTTAAGCAGACTTAATGGCCTGAACACAGTGCTAACCAAGTCAATACAGAATAAAAACAGAGAGGCAGATACCATGAAGGTGAAGGTCTTAGCTTGTGTGCTTCCATTCTTCTTACCTACAGTATACAGCATTTATGACAGGAGAGGTTTCAGACACCTGTCAATATTGCATTACAATCTTCCAGGGGATGGCCCATGTAGTCTGTTGTTTTAGTGTTATCATTACTGAACAAGTTTAACTTAGTACTGTATGTTACTGTAAATAGTTAATTCCCAACGTAAAAAAATCTATTTTGCTTTCGTCACATTTCTAAAACTGAAAACAAGGCTGGTTTGAATGGATTAATCCAATAAAGAAATAAAATAATGCAACTGTTTTCCATAAAGCACCATACTGATAGTTAATTATTACAAACACATTTGCATACAGAGTGACATCTGTTTTCTTCGGTTTGTTTCAGCAGTATTTTTTTTGTCTTTTTCTTGGAAGGTATTTTAAAGAAATAGGGCTATTAGAAAAACCAAGGAGGAATTCTGTCATGTTCAGGTAGTAAATTGGGAAAGCCAAGGTCAGGAAAACATTGACAATTATCATTTCTCAGAAGGAGCCTTCACTACTTAAAAACAGAATAATCTCCATGCACAGGTTCACAAAATAATTAACAAAGCAGTGCAGCTATTCTATCATATAGTTAATTAATTGAATGGTCCACCTATAGCTCTGCAGGGCAAATGTAATTCTATAATTAATCCCTTGCAATATCATAGCCTTCTTCACTTTAATTAGACAGCAGTGTGAAATACTGCTTAGAGTTTAGGATTCTGGACTACAGGGTCATGGGTGCAAATCCCACCTGTGACGTTGCTGTTGTATACTTAATTGACATGCTTCACTCACACCGCTCCAGTTAAAGCCCTGCTGTAGAAAAGGAGCTCCAGTCATCATTGCGAATGATAATTTGCTCTCAATTGCCTTACCGGGAGAAATAAAGCAATAAGAAAACTAATTCTGCTTCTGTCGCATTTTTTTATCATGTTTTAAATGTGGCCGTGCGGAACAGAAATAATATGCGTAGCTATAAACACTTACTCACAACCGATGGATTAAACTCCTAACAGATTCAGCATAATAATCAGAAAAGCTCAATCAAATTGATTTTGTTAAGAGTCGTCAGCTTAAAACAAATGATTGCATGTCTCAGAACAAGTAGAGGTTAATTCCATGCTGAAAAAAATAAAAAGCACAGTGATTTGGCTTTGGAGGTGTGTGTCGCAACAATGAAGAAGGCTGAAAAATTATGTCTTTTATATTTACTTTGCAGCTTGGAATTAACCTCTACATTTTCCTTTACAGCTTGCATGTTGACACAGCTCCCTGTTTCACTCCTTCAGAAAAAAGCCTACTGAAAAACTTATTAAAGCTTGGAGGAGTGCGATGTCTGTGAATTGTGTTTGGTGTGCATTTATTTAAACAATGCAAAATTTACAGTTTTATCATTTGATATTTAGTGTTACATTAAACATCACAAATTAACTGAAACACAGAAATGCTATTTTAATTTGAAAAATGTTCTACAGCATGTTACTGCACTTTACTACATGTTGAAATGTTCTGAATGTTACCCGCACTATTCTGTGTTATTATCGGTTGGTTAATTTTAATGTGTTTCAAAAATGGCGTCTGTAAAAAAAATAGTCAAAATGCAAAGCTTTTAACCTTTTTACTGTGCTTGGGGGTAAAATAGACAGCTGTCCACAAGAGACACGGCTCTTTAGATGATCTACTTTTGTAGCTCTGTAAAGGTTTGTAATATAAGGTTTCAAATGGGAAAGTGAACCTGTTTTTCATGATGTAGGACATTTGTGACAGGTATAGGTAAGCTGTGATAGAATCAGAGGAGCATTGTCATTCATATCTTCCTTCTAAACTACCCCGAGTTGTTTAGTGCTAACTCACTTTCCTGTCAGTGCCTATCTCCTCATCATCCAGGCAGCACTGCCAGATGCCCCCAGACTGCACCAATCAAACACTGCTGATTATTGACAATGATAAGGATGGACACCAGCAGTGAGGAGATTAAACCTTGGGCAATTCATGTATACTCTTTGGCACCTAGTATATATTTTTTTTCACAATCCACTATAAAAATCTCTTCTTCCTTTCCTTAAACTTGTCACTAAAAGGATTTGCTAATGCTGAAAGGAAAAGCAATAATAACAATAGTAAGGTCACTTGCGGGTCAATGACAGAGTTCAAGCTACTAATGAGAGTGTAGTTTGTCCCCTGATCTTGTTAATGAAGATAAATGGATAAGCCATCCTCTGTAATAGTGAAGGCCAGTGCCACAGGGGATGAAACAGAGTAATTTGCTCCTTGTGCTTCAGACAGAACATACTTTCACACATTACAAAACCAGTAGCAATCATTTCTCAGCAGGGCACAGGAGTGGAGGACAGAGGAGGTGGGTTGTATCTTTACATTCAGTGCAGGGCCCTGAGATGGTCCAGCTACAGCAGTAAATTGGTCAAAGGTCACAAGTCTTCCTCACCGTGTACTGTATGTACCTCCAGAAGATTGAATAAAAAGTGACAAAGCTTCAGAGAATCCTTTAAACCTTGGGTAGGTGACATCCCTCTCTCATCTGCTTATGACATACTGTATCTTTCTGCCAATCCCCACACTAGTTTTGCGCATCGAGCAGTGACATTTTTATTACAAGCAAATGTTCCCACCAAGCGCTATATCAAAATGATACGCCTTCTATTTTAAACCACTCTTACAAGCTAAATTTCAGCATGTAATTAGCATTGCATTAGCACTGTAAAGTGCATTAAAAAAGACATATGAATTAGGTGCCAGCTTAAAAGTGATTCTATTTTCATGCCAGAAAAAATCAGATGAATTTGATCAATACATTTCTAATTGATGAATCCATTAATAAAGGCAAGAGGTTTGGTACTTTTTAGTCATATTGCACAAACCAATAGAAGAGCAGGTTCTGTGTGTAAGCTATTATTGAAATGTTGTGCTTTGGAAAGAAAAGAATCACAGTGTTGATTTGTACCACTTCATTTTCTTGTAAAACTGTCCTGTTTGTTTTTGCTTTTTATGTACAAAACGACATTAAGAAAATGTGTATAAGAAAAAAATAGAATTCTTTCAGTATCTGACTTGTTCCAGTGAACTGTGCAAGAAACACTCTTTTACCAGAGCCTTCAGTAGACTGAAGGTTTGTATTCCATATGGTGCCACTGACAGCAGGTGCATTTATGTTTTACAATGAATAGATATGTCCAAATCTGGCAGCTAATTTCACTGGCTGTGACTATAGAGCGAGCCATAATTTACCCAACAGAGAAATTAACATGATCATTTACATTTTAATTAAGAATGGATCAACAGAAATCAATTGCTTTTTAAAAGGAGAAAAACATGTCACTTTGAACCACACCAGAGTATATGAGCCTGTCAGCATGTCTTAGTAATAAATGTGCCACTATGATATTTTTCCTCCAAAGTAAGACGTCATCTCTTTCACAACGTTGTGATTGTGATTGTGATTGAGCTTGGTCAGGATAGATCATAAAGTGTCCTACAGCATGTCCAGGAAACAGAGTGTACATCGAATCCCTGAACACTTAAATTCATGTCTTGTTGACAGGAAATGTTCATGTCTGTTCAGGAGAGGAACATACTTAAATGCATTTCCATTTCAATACATCAGTTTGCATCACTTAGTATACTGTCTGGGTTCGAAATTCACATGACACCGTACAGTTACCGAGAAGGCTTTGTCTGCTAGCAGAGCTGGGCTTTTATTTCCCAGCCCCATGCTGTGGTTTATCAGTAGACTCCAGATGGAATTTATCTCTGAATGCGACCCGTTATAAAGAGCAATCCAGTGAGCAGACATTCAGCCCATCATTTATCCAAAACGGGGCATGACGCTGAATTCTTATCGGTCTCTCCTTTCTAGGGGCTGATGTTATTAACTTCGATGGCCAGGGGGTGATCTCGTACCGGTTCAGAAATAAGAAGATGAAAACCCTGAAGGACGTTATTGCCCTGAAGTTTAAGACCTCGGAGAGCGAAGGGGTAATCTTCCACGGAGAGGGACAGCAGGGCGACTACATTACCCTGGAGCTCCAGAAAGCGAAGCTGGTGCTCTCGTTAAATCTAGGTAGTTTTTTTCTTTTAAGTACTCAATCTCTATTTAAGTCTCCATTAACTTACCAATCAAAGATAAGATGCACAACTGAAATTAAAGTTCTGAGGTAAGCAGCAGCACAACTTTACCTGTGATTTGGATTCCTTTTGCAGTGTAATGCTAAAAAGCTCAGTTGTTTTCTATACTGTCGAAAACGATCTATTCTGTCGCTTGGATAATTCTGATGACTTTTTAGTGAATGTGCATTTCTTGGTACTCAGTACCATTTAGCATAATTTGCAGATTTCTAAGGTTTGCAACTCAACACATGCTGTACATCAAAAATATTCTCCAATTATTCTTTTCATCAACGCTAACGCTTGCTGCATGATGATGCTCAATGCCTGCCGCACTACAGGGGTGTAAATAGTGCACTTGGTGATCCATTAAATCCTTCCCTGAGTAGCACCGTTTGTGAACCTGTGGGATCCCGAGTGACACAAACAAGCAAGCTTTATAGTCCAGGCATCAGTAGTTCAAGTCTGGGTCCGGGAATACCGGTCCAGGTGAATGGAGGTGCCCCAAGGCCTTTGGGGTTGGGGTTAGCATGAGTTGGATTCTCTCAGTTCTCAGCCGAGCAGACCCCCGTGGCTCGCCAGGCCTCCCCAGGCCTGCTGTGACGTACTGTCCTCTCACACACTTTGTGAGTCCAGACGGGATGGGTACACAATAAAAACAAGAACTGGCGGGGAGCGCAAATCTTGTAAAAATGTGACTACCGTGTTATATTATGAATCCAGCTCGTCAAGGAATGTGAACTGGGAAGAGCTAAAAGCTTCCAAAGAGCCCCTTAAATGAAGAGACCAAGGGGTTCTGAAAGCAGCAGATTATCTGGGTCGTGAAAAGCTTTGCAACCTTGTGAATCTGAATTTCTCGCCTCCCTCCTGCTGTAGGTAGCAATCAGTATGGCTCTATTTTTGGCCACACGTCGGTGACAAGTGGCAGCCTCCTGGACGATCATCACTGGCATTCTGTGGTTATCGAGAGATATGGGCGCAGCATCAACCTCACGCTGGACAGACATGCGCAGCACTTCCGCACCAACGGAGAATTTGACCACCTTGACTTAGACTATGAGGTGAGAGTAAAAGCAAACATTAGGCAGAATCCCCGTGTCTTAAAACCAAATTAATAATAGCTATCAATGCAGAAATACTGTAGGCAACATTGCTAGGTTGTTGGTTTGGTGTATTTCTCTACCAATATCATTTAAACCCACTATGTTTCATGAATCATGTAACGTTTACATGACACACGTGTCCCTTTCAAAAGGAGTACAGTACAGCACGTTGCTTTCCAAGAGTTGTTAATCGCAGTGAAATCAATTTAAAGTGCAAAAAGATGTAGTAAAATATGGGAACTACACACCACAATCTCTATAATCATTTATTTTCCAACAGACCCCAAAATAATTTTCTGTTATCTTTGCTTAATGTTGGGCAAAGGTCGGCTTTTCTACAAGGCATGTAACTCTTTAGTAATTGATGTTATTATCGGCTAAATTCTTTACAGGTACAAAGGCCAAGGTTCTCGTACACTCAGACTAATTACTGTATGACTTGATACACCCGCTGGCACTATGTGGGATAGTAATGTTAAATTATTCTTTTTCATCCATTCATGGACATGTGTCCTGGTCTGTGGGTAGAGCCTGTTCTCCCCACATCAGGCTCCTCAAAAGGCTACAGATTTGCTCCCCCAAGTATTTTAATTGTCTGTTTTTATGTTTCACTGATAAAGGTGTGTACTAAGATATTGCTAAAGCTATCATTTTGGACTTGTCAGCAAAATTCCCCAAATAGCATTCTAAGCATGGCAGTGCTGCTTTTTTTAACTGGCTGTTATTTGTTCATTTTAGATCATCCTTATGCAAAGTAACATGTAATCTGTAACATCTTGTAGAAAATAAAAGGAGAAAAATGCAGAACAATTTCTTTTGGCATTTTCTATGTCCATGTTTTAATGGTCTATAGAGACTTTTGGTTATGTGTCTCAGAACCAGTTACTGGCAGACTACACTATCCAAATTGCTCTTTATTTAATACTGCCTACTTCCCAAGAACTAGGAGATTAGGCCCGAAAATCAATCCTCAGCAAATGATAAAGGGATTGATTCAGATAACTGGCAGGTGGGTTTTTATTGTTCCTCCACAGAAAATGACTGTTACTGTATATCCAACGTACTGTATAACAAGACATGTTGGCTACTATAAAATAGGATAAACTGATGACGAAATAACTCCAAATCATCTGAGCACATGAATTTCAGTTTAAGCATGTGAAGCTTTTTCAGTACTCTATTAATATTTGTCCTTCATGTTGGGCAATTTTCCTGTCTTGTAGGGAGGGTATCGAGATCCCACAGACTAATCCCTCAGCTAGCAGGGACTGACACACCCCCTTGTGGCAGCGGTGTGCCATCTCCCATGTTCTTTACAATGATAAGCTGAGACAGCTACCAGGACAGCACTGTGTGTGAAGTCAGCCCTTCATTCCAGTGTTTATACATCGAGAATCTAAAAAAACAAATACAGAAATTCATTTCTTTCTGTTTTGTTTCTCTTTGTCTCCCTTTGGTGTTACTTTTCTTAAAAAGTATAATTAGTAGTGGCTGTGCAGTGGAAAATATCCTACAGTATATACTGTACATGCATTGCGTTTACACATAATTTAGAGTCCTGTCCATCTAGTAAAGCAAAATCTGCATTTTCTCTTATATAATTTAGAAATTAAGTTACTAAAAAAAAGTTACTAAAAAACAAATGCATAAAGAATGTAGCGATTGCCTTTGGTTCTGAGGGGGTTCCATGCATTTTAAATGCAAACACCTGAAGAATTCATGTATTCGGCATGCATTGCTACCTAATTTGGCTGAAATGGTCTGAGGAATCTTAACTCAAATTAGTTCACCTCAAAGCGAATCTATTTAAAATTCTAAACCTCACGATAATGCAAACTGTTAAACCGAGTGTGGATATTGGACATGCAGAAAACTGCTGTATTAGCATAGAGCTTCTTATATATAATTCAGACAATCCTGATGCAGCAGTCTTTATTGACTGCAGAATTGTTCTTTGATTAGCACTGTGGCAAAGACTTATGGATTATGAATGCTTTTTGTCCAAATCCTGTCATCATGCACTGATTTATAAGTGTTTAACAAAGAAGTAATTCCAAAGTGTAGAGCTCTGTTAAGGATTTATACAGAGGGAGGCCCATAGTCACAGTCTTTCTTTATATTCCTGAGCAAATGTCCTTGCAGAATAAATGGATCAATGTGCAGCAAGCTCACATGCACAGAACAGCTCAGAATAAGAAAAATGGTGCAAACTTAAACTACAGGCAAGACGTTTGCATGTAAAGGCTGATCAGAACTTTACTCCATAAAGTATAGGAAAGATGTTAAATGAAATAACCCAAGATGCAAGCATACTGTACATGCAAATACAAAAAGGGAATCATACAGTAGGTAGGGATGGAAAATACTCCTTGGGCCATTTAGATGAGAGCAAAATTTTCATTAATTTCTTATCAAACAAAAGCTTATTAGCCTATTTTTCTTAGCACTGTGTATATTTTGGAGCTCAGGATGAGCGTACAGTATTGTAGACCCTACAGGCAAAACACAAAATAAATATACTGTAGTCACTTAAAATGATTACTAGTATTTATTTCAGCCTTCATAGTACTTATTTGTAGTCTAAATGTCATCTTGCAGAGAATAGATAATACTTGGTATTATGGGAAGACTTGAGTTTATTTATTTGTGTGTAGCAGAACTGAAATGTGTGGTATAACTCTACACTATCTTCTAAATCTGTTTTTCAGCATAACAGGGAACTCCATCTAGACCTCAATATGGAATGTCCTTATCCACTAGGTTATGTTTTCTTCTCTTTCAGTAGTTTCAATTACATTATTTCATATGCAATGGATCTTATTTATGCTGCACAGTAAAACCAAGTGGCATAGTGGCACCGTGCTTAACACTGCTGCCTCACAGCACTGGAGCCCTGGGTTCGGTCCAGATCCTGCGGCGCAGTCTGCGTGAAGTTTGTATGTTCTCCCCGTGTTGGTGTGGGTTTCCTCCAGGTGCTCTGGTTTCCTCCCACAATCCAAAGCTGTGCATGTGCACTGCAATGGACTGGCATCCTGTCCAGCATGTGCCCCACCTTGCGCCCATAGTGTGCTGGGATAGGCTTTGGCTCCCCATGACGATGTACGGATTAGCAAGTCACTGATTGGTTTACTGATGTACTGGTTGAATTGTTCAATATGATTTCTGTGTTAATTGCTACATTGTCCCTAAAGAAAACAGCAGATCTTCCGGAGACAGACAGTGGTTTTTAAATCTTGATTCATGAGAGAAAAGCACATTGGCATATTGAGCCCAACGTCTATGGACATGTGGATGGGCAACACATGGCCTTTCCACAGATCAATGTGTATGGATTCCTTGTTCCCCATTGCCTTCAAATACCATGGACACTAATCCTAAAATGTCCAGGGATTTTTTCTGTGACTTGTTGAACTGTTTGGAAGTGATTTCACAGATATCCTTCCAATGCTTCTGGGCTGCTGTTGTAATGCTTGACCGTCCACTTTATGACAAGTTATGCGTGGTCCCAGTTCCCTGTTTGAAAAGTGCCCAGTGCCACATGTGCACTGAGACATCTTACACCATGGATGCTACTGGAGCCAACCTGTAGTTGTCCTAAAACAGGGGTTCCAAATCTTGATCTTGGAGGCCCACATACCTGCTGGTTTTGGTTCCATCCAACATCTGTTATGCAATCGAACCTTTAATTGATCTAATAATAGGATTACTTTAAACTATTTGATAATTTCCAGCTCTTGAACATAACGTAGAGGGGCTTGCATTCTAATCACTGCGTTTCATAATTAACATTAACGGAATATTCCAAACTGTTGAGTAGAAAAGGAAAACCTGCAAAAATTCCAAGTCAGCAACTTGTTAGTTCAGATGACGGTTCAGTTAAGTAATTAAAATCAACTGAAATGACTGTTAACCACTGTCCTAGGAATTGAATTTCTTTCAGCTTTCAAAAAGCATAGCATACTGTAGCAAAGATGCAACTTAGCAGTTGGTGCTGTTTTCACGTCTTGAATCGATCTCAGAATAAACAGAAAAAAGTTTAAGTAATCTCATCTGATCACCTGGCTGAAGAGTGTATAACTGCATAAGCTGCACACTAAGCTCAATCAAGTGATCTCTGAAAATGCTCAATGCAAGTCGTTGACAATCATTTGTGTTACCCTGTACATAAAAATCCCGTATGTCTGCTAGTAAACTTTCTCTTGCTGGAAAGTTGCAGATATACCACTAACACCCCATATGTAAAACAAAGGTGTGGCGGGGCAGGTCTTTGAGAGGAGTGTTGTGTCAGCCAACCGGCCACTAGAGGTTATTGAAGGACTCTGTTACTGTAAATAGACACACTGGGTGATAATTAGATACTCAGATGAGTGTGATGAAAAAAAGTGTTTGATTTATAAATTGTGTCACAGTGCTATTTAGGAGCTAGATAGACAGCAGTTTAAGAAGGCTGCTTTGGAAAGTGGATTATAGTATTTTCTGTAATAAAGTCTACTGCACTGTCTAGTATTGAACATTGTAATATTTTTCTGTTCATGTCCCTTGAATCCCCAAAAGCAGGTTGGGGATTCATTCATTTCAGCAAAAGGCATTTAAACAAATCTTAAGCTTAAAATGGGCAACGGTACAGTTGTCATTATTTTCTTTCTTTCATACAGCTCAGCTTTGGGGGAATGCCGTTTTCTGGGAAACCCACGTCCAGCAACAGAAAGAATTTCAAAGGCTGCATGGAGAGCATCAACTACAATGGGAATAATATCACTGACCTTGCCAGGAGAAAGAAGCTAGACACTTCCAATGTGGTAAGGGCTCCCCAATCTTTACTTAATAACCTACAGCATGGTAATAGCATGTTAGCTAATGTCAATGGGGACTCGCAGCCTTAAGACAGTATTTTTAGTCTCATTTTTTCAGAACTGTTCCCTTCACAGAGCTCAATTGTGTTTTGGGCTGTAAAATAGATTACTTGGTTACTTGCAATCTTAACGCTGCCTGTGGCTGAATATAAATCTTGCATGTTTATTGTAGCATGGCTGGGACCTACGATTTGACGATGCAGGTAAATCAAACAATTTGAGAATCGGAAGTCTCCATTAAGACTGAAATGCGTGCCTCTGGAGCAGTTTGCTTTGAAGGAGGAGATTTTTTTCCAGCATGTCTACAAAGTGTTTATGGTGAAACCATATTTAAAATAACGGCCGTAGCGTGCTGGTACTAATTTGTCAGACAGAACTGCGTGCACTTAAGTGGAATTATTATGACCTGTATCTTAATTTTCTTCCTTTTAAACAATCTATTTGTCTCTTAAATCATTTTTTGTGTTGTATATAATATATAATTAGCATTTCTTTGGTTTATGTATGGCTTTCGACCTAAGAGTAATATCAGTAATTCATACCTGTTTCACTAGTCCGTGTTTGTGTCTTACAAAGAACACCTTTCACTGGTTAACATTAGCTATGTCACACTAATGAGCTCTATCAAGGACAAAACACAAAAATGCACAACAATGGAACTGAAAATCCGGTTATGCATTCCTGCATCCTCGAAGTATGAAATGGCCTGAGATAATTAATATTCAAATTCCCGTAATTTGTAATAACTGCTTGATCTTGAAAAAGCAACATCATAACCATAAATGGTGGTCCTTGTTAGATATCTTTTTATCATATCTGTGTACTGTACTTAAAAAAAAATGATTTTCAAAACTTTCTCATTCTGTCTTTTCCAGAACAATTGTTCAATATGAAAAGCAGTACAGAAAGTTAAACAGGAAGGATTTTTTTTTTATTGTAGAATATCTGAGTGAATATTATCAAGCCACATCTTGTAAAAACTTGTGGCTTAGGTCTGTAGGTGCACATCACTCTCAATAAAGAAGGACTTTCTGCCTTGGTAAAGGACAAGTAATTAATACCAGAAACATGACAGTATTGATTAGGCTATAAAAATTGATTTTCCTTTTATTGTTCATAGTCCCTAGTCCATGCCTTCCCAGTATTAACAAAAGGAATCTATCCCTTTTGTCCACTAATGTGAATTATAATCACTCGACTATGTGCAGAGTCCTCTGGGTACACCCTCTTATCAAATATTTGCCCTTTTAACACTCAGTCCTCCCACAGGACCAGATGTAGTGAGCTGCCTCTTTATCTTTCCTAGGCTGATATGCAGCTTCTTCTGCATGCTTGTGCCTTTGGCATTTTTTTCTCCCCCCCTCACTGTTTTACACCAAAGGCTATTCATGCTATTCTTCCCTTTTAATTAATTCATGTTTTAATTAGAAATCCTAATTAATTTTTTTTCCATATGTCAGTATGTCTCTGTGTCAGGTAGGGGAGCTTATCAGGTTGTTTTCGTGTTTTCTTTTGTTTTTTTTTTAAATAGCCAAGGGCTAGCTTTACTGTCTCCACAGTTTGATCTGGAAGAGACGGCGATTCTGTCGTTCCAAGTTTGGTAAGACATCTTTCTAGGAGAGCCTGACTACAACTCGCAATGGGATTCATTCATGTGGCTGTGCAAGTGCCTACAGCCTACTTTGGTGTGAAAGTGTCTGACTGAGGGCTAACAGCCTGGCCGTGAGGATGAGATAGTCAGGCGCCTCACACAAAGGGAGCCAGGGGCCAATATAGTGGTGGAAGAGGAACGTGGAGTCAAGGGATTTAAAAAAGGAAGCCATGTATTTAGACACTGCAGGGAATTGCATCACTATCATGAGTCGAGTGATGTCATCTGCAAAGGCCAAGTTTCCTTTCTAAAATCCATCGCTCTTGTAGCGTTCCCTGTCACTGTTTCAGGACAACATTGTCAGTGAAAACTGAAGGAGAGTGGGCTGTGCCACGGAACAGTGCCTGGATCTGCTACAGTCAATTTGATATTAAAGTATTTAATTCAGAATACTAGTAGGAAGTGGTGAATCTAACATTTGAATTAGAATAAACTTTTTGCTTTTTGGAAACAATGACTAAGACTTTCCTGTATATAGAAAAGAAAGTTGGCTTCTTATTTGGGTAACATGTATGCCCATAATACAATTGCAAGACTGCTGAACGTTTAACAAATATCAGTTTTGTGTTTATAAAAACACAAATGGTGCTGCCAGAATCTTCTCAGGCTGTTAACTTTGACAAAGCAGTAGGCTGTCTCAGTACCAGAGGCAAACAAATGGAGTCTCTTCCTCTGGCAATGTGATGCATCTGCTGTGTAGGCAAATGTGAGTTATTACTCAATTCAGTCAATCACACAGGGAAGATTTCTCTCAAGGAAAGCAGTTTTTATAAGAACTGCTGAGAAGCGACAGAAATATAAAACCAATTTTTGTTTTCTTCTAGGGGACATTCTGTAATTGGTTTCAGATTCTAATGCTTATTCTAACCTTTCTTGAGCATTGAAATTAGAATTAAAAAATAGCTCTGGCACATACTGTAGAACACATATATCCTTAGAAGGTATTCAAATACAATATACAATTTAGCCATTTAAGCTGCTAGTTATTTCAAGTGATTTAAAAAGATCTTAAAACCCGTGATCCGGCATGTTCTGTTCTTAAATTGATAGTTTAGGACTGTTTCAAAACTGTATCCTATCAAGAGGTTACCCTCCTAATGTATAATCTACTGCAGTGTAATTCTACATTACTTATAGTTTATCCCATCTGTGGCTTAAAAAAGTCAGCATGTTTTTAGTGCCCATTCTGTGCCTGTTAAATACTTTGATCACAGTCTTTCTTAAACTTGGTAAACCTGGTGTTCTTATACAGAGATTCGGGCCTTTGACTTTGGGTTGTCCAGACTAAGAAAAAAGCTATGTGACTGTATGAACAAATGAAAAAAAAAACACCACACTGTATCTGTATATGTTCTACAGCCACAAACACTGGTGGCCATAATACAGGGGGAAATGGGCTATATGCCAGGAATCCAACTTGGCGAAGAATTCATTTTTTTTTATTCATAGAGAAATGTATTTATCCTTTTAAAACCATAATGTTTTGCTGGCATTTCATTTGAAACTTTATGCACAAAAACTATCCCTATTTCTGGTCTTCAGTGCTGAACATAATCTCAGTACGCTGTCAGAAAGCTGTAACTTTTAATTTTTTTAGATGGCTGCACTCACATTGTCGAAGTTACCTCACCTATTTTCAGTGATGTGGAGATCAGCTGCAGGACCTGTAGTGTTTCTTTCTGAGAACGAGTAAATTAGCTTTAGCGAGGGGGATAGTGTTGTGTTGAGGTTTCCCATATTTAGAGCATTGCTGTTAATTCAATTTCCCTACGGGATTAATAAAGTAATATCTATCTATCTAATTGTTTGAATAGTGACCCCAAAAATCATTTCATTCCAGCTGTAAAATAAAATATATATATTTTTTTTTTTGCTGTGTTCAGTAGGAGATGATTGACTGAGGGGAACTTTTGTGTCTTGTATGTACAGATTGTCTTGCACATTATCTGTCAGTTTAATCCATTTGTGCTCCCAGTTGAAAACTACTGTTTAAATTCAGAACAGTTTTGTAGTTCATTAGAAAGAGGAATGTTAACCTGCAAATATGAATATGTGAGAACAATTTCTTTCCTCTCTTCCCAGGCAAAGCAATTTCTTTGTCTTCCCACTGTGGGCTGATTAATCAGTAAAATCCCTGGCAGCTGTTCCTGAGTTTTAAGTAATTATCTCCTCAGTCAGTAGCATTGCAACCTCCTTCCCAGAAAACACATAATCGAATATTCCAATTTTCCCTAGTTCCTTCTGTGAAAACAAACCCTGAACTAATTATCTTGGCAACCATTAAGCTACGTCCAGCTTGAGAAAGTGAGGAGATGTGTGTCCTAATATGACCTGAAGCTTTTTGGTTTTCCTGCAGTGACTGAGGTTCCCACTCTTGGAGCGCTGACACCATGGTGCTGATTAAACAGTTCAGTCCGTTTTTGTGCACTTGTCATTTGCCAGTCCTGTCTGTTTTCAGATATCGGAGGACAGGGACAGATCGTGATGATAGTACATGTACAGAAGGTGCTGATTTAGCCCAGTTTCTAAGCTTCAATGAAAAAATAACATACTGTACTGTATGAAGAATGCCTTCACTTATCCAGAATGTGAAAAGGCTGCAGGGGTCCCTCTGCTCTCGAGAATTGAAAAGGCTGTAATGGAAACCTTGAAGTTGCCAGGACGATGTAAAACCCACAGCTGATAAGACAACCCTCCATCCCCCTAGAAAGCAGAAAAAGTAACAGGAGAGTCCCTGCACGCTGTGATTCAAACCTGCTGTGGTTGCAATCTTTAGTAGTGGTATATCTACGGTCTGTGTCTTCCAAAATGTTGGATTTCTCAGGAAAAAAAAACATCCTCAAAGTTTCACCCTTGGAAGTGCTTGAGCGCCGTCATTTCTTGTCTTCGGCGCAGGGGAAGCTGAATTTCTCCTGCGTGGAGTCCCACACCGTTCCCGTGTTCTTCAACGCCACCAGCTACCTGCAGCTCCCGGGCCGAGCCGGGCGGGACGTCCTGTCCGTCAGCTTCCAGTTCCGCACGTGGAACCCCAGCGGGCTGCTGCTCTACGTGCCGGTGGAGGACGGGATGGCGGAGGCGTGCCTGAGCGACGGCAAGGTCGCCCTGCACGTCAACAGCACGCAGATGAAGAGCTCGCCCATCGAGATCGCCTCAGGTAGGCGGGGAGCGGCGTGGCGGCCAGCCGTGTCTCAGAGCAGCGGCTGGGGGCTGGGACGCTGGGGTTGGGGGGGGCTCAAGGGAATCGCCGCCGCAGACCGCAGGGTCAAGCAACGGGGCGGGGCTTTTCTGACACCGTCCGCGGAAGGTGTTGAAATCGGGGAAACATCTCTGTCACAGCAGAGAAACGCAAGTCTTCGGAGGGGGCAAAAAACGTTTGGTTTTCAGAGGTTTTTTTTTTCAATTGTCCTTTTCAATGCTGCACAGTCAGCGGTACAGGAACTGAGTTCACTTGCGATAGTGTTATTCTGTGTTCATACTGCTGTTCTGAAATGGTTCTTAAGCACTTTTGCATGGACCTGTTTATAGTGGTTTTCAGGCTTTTGTCAATATTGAAGAATTTGCTAGGCTGTGACTTGCACTGAAGGTTCCTTGTTGATCAGACTTGTTGACAGCAAATGTTAATACACATAATACATTTTCCTCCCTCAATTACCATCTACTGTATAAGTTTCTGCAAATGTTGTGACAGTGCACCAAAAGAAACTCATCACATATGGGTGCAGATTCAATTATCAAGCTATCTTGGTTCTACACAGAGGACACTTCACGTGTGGATTATACAGTAACTCAGGGTTCATGTTTATTAAAGCCCATCATTTTCCCCTAGTTTTAATAGTGATGATTTTGAAAAAAAGAAATCAACCCAATACCTTAGATCATTTGCTAAACATGAGGATGCCTGATGTAGTGCCCTTTGACATTGTGTTATGTCCACCAAGGAGACCAGACCTCTCCAGCTCAATTCCCTCCCATGTCTGTCAGTGGTGGCTGACAGACTGATCAGCTGAAGGGGTCAGAAGAAACACTTTGCTCACATACTCAATGATGGCCAATACTGTACGTCACCCAGGCTTGCAGCAGGCAAGCATCCATTGAATTCAGATAATGAGTACCAAGCCTCCAGCACCTGAAAAATGATTAAAGAAGTCTAAACATATATATTAAAAAATTGCATCACTTAATAACGAGAAACACAGCTAATGGGCAGTACAAGCTCATGTTTCATTACTTTCATTAAACTCATTAAATGCTGTAATGACCTCCAAAGACATCTTATCAGACCTGTTTAAGAGCCGATTCAATACAGGGAGCTGCGGTCAATCGTTAGGAAAAGCAAAGAGAGATTAAAGCTCTCTGGAAATTGCGGGTTGAGAATGAGGTCTCCTGTTGTAGTGGGGCTAGTGGGAGCTATTACACTGTGGATACAGTGGGTCCCTGTCCTGCATGTGAAGAACTTTGGGGTGCTTGGGAATGAAAGGCGTTACTGTATATTTAATATCTTAATTGTTAAAACATGTCGAGCTACAGAACACTTGCTCCGTTTTAATGAAACAGGTGTGCTGGGGAATAAATGTTAATGGAAACTCAGCATTTTAATTCTCTGTATAATCAGATTTAAAATAAAGGCTCAGGCTCAAAAGATTAATCCCATGTAAATGTATTTATTGTGGTTGTTCCTTGTCGTTCAGAGCATAGAAAAAAAACTACAAAGCAAAGGAATATGAAGAAATGATCTACCACAGTTTCCATAATTTATTTTATTACACCCCTCAGTTGAAATTATTGTAACAGCAAGGAAAATTATGGTAGTCATTTATTCTGTATTTAATCATTAAGTTTGGGATCTGACTTGACCATAATTAGAAAATTAAAGATTTTAAATTCCAGGTGACAGTTTTTTAAAACGGCTTAAGATGAATTACGAATACCGTAATGAAACAGACGTTTTACACGCCTTCTATGGCTCTCCTATTTCTAACATATCACAGAAAATTATACCCACTTAATATATTAAACCATGAAATGTTTTCAACTATCTGTCACTGAGTAGAGCTACTGTATGTACAGCATTGTCCATGGCAGAACTCTAATAATGCTACAGTATAACATCTGAAAGTGGGTACCATGCATCTGCCTGGTTACCTGTAAAGTAAATGTTTCCGTTGTATCCAGGCCACAGACATGTTTATTATTTTCCCTCTGTCATTTTTTTAGGTTTAATTGGAAGGTGCAGGTAATCTGTGATGGGGTATAAAACCTCTTAAACTGTGCAAACAAAATCAGAAAATTAAAATGGCACTTTTTAGTAGGAGGGATCACAGCCATTTATCATGGATCACACCATGCCCTTCCTGTGTGGGTTTTTTTATTGGTGCAATTTAAATACTGCCAAAATCAGTAGCAATAAAAAAAACTACGCACCATATATCAAGAGCACAGACAATGATATAGCAAATGGAAAGGAGTTCCTCTCGTGTGGACATAAATATAGCGGCTGACTTAAAATATTCCTCATTACCACAGCTCTCCATTAGGGTAGGGCTGGTAGCCAGAGCCTGTGGTCATAAACTACATTTTACTATGCACTGTAGACCAGGTATGAGAGATGAAAAATAAAAATCCTGCTAGCTTTTCAGGGCCGTTAAATTGTATTTCCAACAGCTGCTTTTAAGATGTTCGTATCCTTTTCAGTTGACATTATTCCGTTGCGTTTATTTCACGATGTGCCCACATGTCTCCCAGCAGCATCGATACAGTAGGTCGCCTAGTACTTTCTCTCCAGTGCAAGAGCGTGAATGAGTTTTGCAGGTACGAAATAAGGTCGTCATATGAAATTAAATCCATGCATTTTCAGATACCGTCCAGTTAATACTGATGCTGTCCGGTTTTAGATACTGTCCCTGATGTCCCTTAAACTTTCCCTGATGGACTTAACTGACTGGTATTTTGTGTCTTTGGGCTCTGCACATACAGTGCGTGGAATACGTAGAAGAGAGGTGAGAGGCTGAGAGGGCGACAGTGACACCCGCAGGACAGGAGGAGTAATTACACGTGTGCAGAAGTGGAGAGGATTCTAGGTTGGCTGTTACTGTACCTCACAGGTGTCTTATGACAAAGCCTCCAAAGACAGGACCACTTTCGCCAGCTCCCTGGCTCTCGGGTCCAAACAGGCCTCTCTGCGCACGACACACCTGTAATTCTGCTTACGATACCCGCTTTTTTTCATTCATGGCTAATTAATGCTTTGCTACGTTTGCTAGTTTAACTAATCCATTTAAAAAATATACTTCTGCATCTCACCCCTGATGTGGCGTTGCTGTGCTTCATATCTTTTTTCACCCTGAGGCTTTCAATTTCGCTCAAATGTCGTGTTTGTTGACTCACAATGCGTTACATTTGTGCCCTTGTATCTTTCCTGTGCAAAATTCAATGAGTGTTTTGTGACATTGTTGATACTAGTTCAGATTTTCCCTTCTCTATTTGATTTTTATTTTCCTGGTGTGTGATTTGGAGTTCTCGGTGCCTATCCTTCTCTCAAGCCATTTCTATCAGTGCCTTAACCACAGTTGTTCAGTTTCCATTGTATTTTATTGAGCTATTTATTTTTTTATGTTTCAAAGCCTAGGTAACTAAGGAGATGGGCTTTGCTGTTGAAAAGACATTTTTGTAAGCATCTTTTAAAAACGTAGACTCTTTAGCCCCAAGTTCAACACTTATCATTTGTTGTTCCAGACATCATGATGCTGCTGGAAAGTTCATGTCTGATGGTATTGTTTTCTTTGCCGCTTTCAAGAACCTTTTGGATAATAAGTCTCAAACACACTGATGGTATTACACAACATTCCCCATAAAAACAGTAGCAATAAATTGTTTGGGTGCTTTCTATTAAAGGATGTCCAGCCTGTTTCAGTCGATAAAACAAGGGCGGTTTTGTATGTGCCCAGGCGCCGTTTTTTAGGGGAGTAAAAGATGAAAACACACAAGCTTCTGTTCCTAACAACGTGTGCCCCCATCTTTCCCACCACAATAACAGGCCTTGCTCGTATTGCTGACAACAACAGTTTTTGTTCTTGGGTTGATTAACATCAATAGCTCTTTCCCTTCAGAACCGTGCCCTAATCCAGGCTCTATAATGCAAAATACAGAGATCACTCCCAGGCTTAAACACACTATTAAATACAGACTGTTCGATAAAACGAGCTAATACTGGAAAAAAAAAAAGTTTCTTCTTGCTGACTCTGTGGAAATCCTTTTCCTCCTTGGTGGTCAGGATTAGTCAACCCGCTTGTGTCATGCTGAGCTCCTCCATGCTGTGCCATGTTGTTGTGTGAGGCTAATTTTAAAAACCCAAGCACACCGGTCGGTGCAGAGAACCAACTTTGATGCTCTTAACTATTTCCACCAGGATGGAGACCAAACACACCCAGAAATTAAGGTTGGACATTTTGGGGGTCTAAATAAAGAGATTTAATGCTTCTCCGCCTACTGTTTTACCTGTCTGAAGGGGGAGCCCCTGAGGGCAACAGGGACACCAACAGCCCCCCCTCCAGTTGCCCTTATCTTCCCTACAGAACTGTTGGAGACTCAGGGTCATCCAGTCCATCCTTGCAGCCAGATATCTGGTGGTGAAACAACAAGCCGTACAGCATTCAACATAAAATAGAAACCCCACCGACTGCTGCAGCAATTAAGGGGAGAATCATCACTGTTATGTGACTATTAAGTGGGGACCTGTCACTAAATGTATCAGTGATTATTAGGTGGAGACCTGTGACCAAGTGATTATTAAGTGAGGGGTTATCAGTTAGCGTTAACTGATAACCATGTTAAATGGAGAATTATCACTAAGTGTTTAAGTAAAGAACCAATACCACTAAAGACTACAGGGATTAAGTGAAGAACTATCACTAAGTGTTGAAGACATTAAATAAAGAACTAATACAAAGTGTTAGTAAATGGCATACACAGTATTATGACTAAGAGTTTTAAGTGGAAAATCTTCACAAAGTGCTAGTGAGATTATATGGAGACCTTTAAGAGCTACGGGGATCAAGAACTATTGCTAAGGGCTACAGTGATTTGTTAACAGGAGAATTATCATTAAGTGTTAGAATGATTGCTAATTGTAGACCTATCACTAAGTGTTATTGATTA